GATCTATATTATGGTTATTTGCTCTTAAAAAATTGTATTTCAAGTCTTGCTCTTCCAGCATATCTATTATCCTCAGAGTTTCTCCAGAAAGCACATATGTTGATGTGCAGAAGGACTTCCAACATGATAGGCAGATAGGTAACTCACCCAATTGTATATGTCCACAGTTGATGGCAACCAAATACATTTAAAAAAACAAAAAAAAAACTATACCATTAAGTCCATCAGTCAGTTTCACCGTATGTCATTCCTTAATTGGAATCCTTACTTTTCTCCAGTGAAAATATTCATGATAGGAAAACAGAGAGGTCCAACCATTTGCTTCATGCTGCAGAACATTCTGTTGTGATGTGTTTTGTAGCTATAAGTGTGCATTTTGCACAACTGAGAATATTTTTAATAAATAAATGTTATTTGGAAAAATGTTTGCTTCTTTTATTACAAAATATTGATATGTAGAAATTGGCAAATTAATTCTAGAAGTTTACAGAGAGAATTTCAGAGAAGTTTGAACATGTTCATATTTTTATTTTTTTTCCGAGAAATGTGCAGAGTATGGCAAGTAAGTATCCAAAGATGTTTTTGTTTAATTAATGAGACCGGTATAAAGTTCAGTCCAAATACACTTTGGCTTGTTTTTTTTAGGCTGTTTGAGTACATGGCTCTCTTAAAAATAAAGGAATATAAAATAAAATGTCGGGGGGCGTGGCCGAGCATGCGACAGGACGCCTAATTCCTGAGCTCCGCTCCCCCTGGCCCCTAAAACACGCGAAAACCGGCACTTACCCCGACAAACATGGTCCGGAACAAGAAGCCCCACACCCTGGGGGGTACCCCGCACCGCCCGACCGGGACGCTTGATGAGTTCGTGTGCACTCCGAGCACACTAAGCTGCAGCCGACCGCCTGACAACATGGCGCCCGGCTCCCCAGGCAGTGAAAGCGCGGGAGAGCCCACCCTGGACGGCACGCAGGATGACACACTCGCTCTGATTAAACAGGAGCTGGCAATGATCTCCGCACAGATGCTCACCAAGGCAGATACAGGGGGGCTACTGAGAGAACTTCGGGCAGCCGTCAAAGAGGAAGTTGCAGCCCTGAGGAAGGATCTTTCATCAGTGGAAGTAAGAGTGGAGGCACTGGAAACGGAGGCCCAAGCGAGCCGCGCGCAGCACCAAGCGGCTGAACTCGCTACCACGCGCCAGGGGAACATGCTCCTCTCCCTTCGGCGCCAAGTTGAAGATTTAGAGAACCGCAGCAGACGCCAAAATATCCGGATTCGGGGGCTACCCGAACCGGACACAGCGCCACTACAAGACACGCTGCAGGCCCTTTTCCGGCAGATTCTTGGAGAGGAATGCCCGGCGGTGATCAAGCTGGACCGGGCACATAGGTCCCTGGGGCCGCAGAGGCCTGATGGCAGGCCACGAGACGTCCTGTGCTGCCTCCATGACTACAGCCTTAAGGAACGCCTCATGACAGCTGCCCGAGGAATGGCGGATATACCCTTCCGGGGAGCAAGCGTGGCCCTATACCAAGACCTGTCCCGCCTCACCCTGGACGCCAGACAAGCTCTCAGGCCCTTAACGACGACCCTGCGGGAGAAGGGAATAGCCTACCGGTGGGGATTCCCCTTCAGCCTCCAGATTAGGCAGGGGAATGCCTGGATCCAAGTGCGCTGGCCAGAAGATGTGCCCGAGCCTTAAGAGCCTTGCGCCTACCACCTATCCGCATCAGGAATTGGCTTCTGGAGACCCCGCTCGCACAGCTGCACGAAGTGGCGGAGGACGGGCGCCCACCGTCGCCCCCGAGGAGAAGGGAGCGGGCCCAGAGGATGCTGGGAGGCCCGAGAGGCGTGGAGGAGTGAGGAGAGGAGCACTCGCGGCCTGGCTTCAGCCGGGCCGCAAGGTACTGGGGGGGAGCCGGGATACGGGTCTGCGCCTGCCCATAGAGGGAGTAGGTTAGCCAGGTGGGGTGGGAGGCGTAGGCACCTCACAAGTCGCGGCTCACCCCGACCTGAAAGGGAGTTCATGGACATGGGATGTCGCTTCTTCCCCTGCCGGGGCCCGGAATGCCGCTTCTGGAGTTGGGACTGGCCCGCCATATTGCCCCTGGACTTGCTACACTGGTAAAGTTTAGGCTCAAGGAGTCGTAGGGGGCTCACTGGGCTTTGGGAGGGCATTGGGGGAGGGAATCGGGGACTGCACCCTGGAAGTGGGGGAGGACATGGGCAAGGTCCTGGGGGACTGATGGCTACGAGGTGGGGGGAGGGGAGAGCACGGAGCGGACCTGCATTTCTCTCGGGACACTTAGCAACCTGCCCCCCCATGCTGGGTTGGAGGGGAGGCGGGAAGCCCCGCAGCTCCCCACTGCACCCATGCGAGACGTGAGGGAGACGAGTAAATGTCCTCCACGGGGAGGTGAGGAGGAATGGCCCCTGCACTACCGAGCCCACTCAACACCGGCCCATAGAGCACACACCCCGAGCCAGGGGCGAGACGGGGAAGGAAAGCAAAGAGACAGGGGGAGAAGGGCCTTTAGCCCGCACCGGAGCGGTGGCCTGGGGTCACAGGGATGGGGGGGGGGTTGGCGGGATGCCCAACGAGTAAAACCTGCCAGAGGCGAGAGGGGCATAGGGTCTGCTTGAGTAGCTGGGCGGCCAGGGTACGCTGGAAACGGCAGCCGCGATACGCGGAGATCACTTGCACTGCCACCCTGGGGGGGGGGTCCACCTGGGGGATGGGACAGGGGCATGACCAGGCACCGAGGTATAGCCTCCGGAAAGAGGAGGACTACTGCGGGACAGCACGGGCTAAGGGGGAGCTGACAGTGACGACTCTTAGACCCACCTTCACAGTCCTGCGCCTGCGGACGCTCACGTACCCACAGACACACTGTATAACACACTAGGGGGGAGCGACAAGGGGGGACATATTTACGTGGGACAGTCCACCCCTTACTGACTAACCGACCTAGACAGCTGAGTCTGACACTGTACATAGTTCTCACCTTGTTTAACTCTGTTATTCTATAACAGGTCTACTGACGACCCTCTATCTACGACCACCTCTTTTTTTTTTTCTCTCTCTCTCTCCCTCCTTCTTCTTCTCTTTTCTCCCGCCCCTGACACCTCGCCGCCCGCCCCTGCGCGGCGGCACCAGCTCTCATGACCTCCCGGGGCCGAGAGGGGTTCGCCCCGGCGCCTCTGCGCATCTGGTCCAACAACGTCCGGGGCCTGAACCTGCCAGAACGGAGATCACATTTACTACGGGCACTTTGGTCCAATAGAATCTCTGTGGCCTTCATCCAGGAGACACACTTCCGCGGACAGACGGGACCGGCCCTCCGAGACCGACGGTTCCCCACTGGATATTTTGCTAACCATAGGGAAGCCAAGAAGGCAGGAGTGGCCATTCTCTTCGCCGCGCATGTCCCCTTCGTGTGTGCGGAGGTCAAGGCCGACCCACTGGGACGCTACATCTTCCTCAAGGGCTCCATTGCAGACAGGCGCTACACCTTTGCCTCCATATATGCGCCCAACACCCGACAACACAGTTTTCTCACCAGAACCCTAAAATCGCTGGAACACTTCAGGGAGGGGCTCCTAATTCTAACCGGGGACCTCAACATACCATTGGATCCGCGGACGGACACCTCCCGGGGACGCTGCTCGCTGCCGGACGCAAGCATCAAAGCGGCACAATTGGCACTCAGAACGGCGGGCCTTGCGGATTGCTGGAGAGTCATGCACCCAGAGGCCAAGGATTTCACATACTTCTCCCCGGTGCACCGCGGCTACAGCCGCTTAGACTATGTCTTTATTGCACAAGAATACCTGAATCTATTACAAAAATGTGAAATCCTACTGGACGCTTGGTCGGACCACTCACCGGTACTGGCCCAGCTGACCTCGCCTCTGCATAAACCCACAAGACGCCAATGGAAACTGAATGAACAACTACTTAGCGACCCGGTCACCATAGCGGACGCTACGACAGCGCTCCGTCATTACTTCAATGAGAATGATCCGTCTGACACCTCCCCAATGATTCGGTGGGAGGCCCATAAGTGCGTCATTCGGGGACATTTCATCAAGGTATGTACAACGCGGAAGAAAGAACACAGTAGGCAGCTACAAGAGCTATATACGAAAGTCGCCAGCTTAGAACAAGACCACAAAGCCGCACCGACAGAAGAGGCGTACCATGCGCTCCGAGAGGCCCGCCGAGACCTACAACATCTGCTCACGAAAAACCTCGCCTATACGATGAAAAAAGCCCATCGCTATTACTATGAACACTCCAACAAATGCGGTCGTATGCTAGCCAGAATGCTGAGACAACAACGCCGCGTGAACCAGATCACTAAGCTGCGGACAAAGAGCGGCGCCCTCACGCAGGTACCAGACAAAATAGTCGAGGAATTCCGGAACTTCTACACCGGCCTATACGATATCCAGAAAGATGAGACAAGCACGGGCCGGGAAAGGACGGCGAGACTGACGAGGGAGTACCTGGAAAACCACGTACACCGGACTCTCACGCAAGAACAAAGGGAAGACCTTGATGCCCCCATTACGATCGAGGAACTGACGGCAGCCCTGAAGAACACACAACTTAACAAAGCCCCGGGACCGGACGGCCTCCCCGCCAGATACCTCAAGGCCTTGGGGATGTCCTCCTACCAGAATTGCTGGCGGGCATGAACTCTCTCCTTGAGGGGGCACGCCTACCGGGGGACACCCTACTGGCAACGATCGCGGTTATCCCGAAAGAGGGTAGAGACCCAGCGGCCTGTGCGAGCTACAGACCCATTTCTCTACTAAACGCAGACCTCAAGCTGTTTACGAAGGTCCTGGCGGCGCGCGTGGGCCGCATAGTCCCATCCTTGATCCACCCGGACCAGACCGGATTCATACCCGGTCGAGAAGCCAAAGATAATACAATCAGAGCGCTAAACATCATGCACATGCAACGGAGCTCGCCGGTCGGGGGCCTGCTCCTCTCCACTGACGCGGAGAAGGCCTTCGACCGGGTGGACTGGCGATACCTCCTTGAAACGCTCAAGGCAATGGGGTTCGGACCGAATATACTGCAGTGGATCTCCGCGCTATATGCGGAACCGACTGCTCAACTACGCATTAATGGGGTCCTGTCCACACCGATTCGGATACGTAACGGGACGCGCCAGGGATGTCCGCTTTCCCCCCTCCTGTTTGCCCTCTCTCTGGAGCCATTTCTTGAGGCGGTCAGACGGGACGGGGGCATTGCGGGGGTCACCCTGGGGGACGGCACGCACAAGGTGGCGGCCTACGCGGACGACCTCCTTTTCTTCGTGAGCAACCCCTTGATCACCTTGCCCAACCTGTTGGCGGCCTTTGAGCGGTTCGGACGGATCTCTAACTTCAAATTGAACGCGGACAAGTCAGAGGCCCTCCCCATCTCTATACCCCCCGAGTTGGTCGAACGGCTGACAGGAGAGTTCCCCTTTAAATGGTGCCACCAGCGCATAAAATATCTCGGGATCTGGTTAACTAGAGACCTGACGAAACTCTATCAAGAAAACTTTCTCCCTATTCTCCAAACGCTCCGTGCGGACTTGCTCAGATGGGGACGCCTATGCGTGTCGTGGTTTGGGAGGATCAACACAATAAAGATGAATCTGTTGCCACGCTTGCTGTATCTTTTCCAGGCCATTCCGATCACGATCCCGCGAACATACTTCAACACCTTGGGCTCGGCTATACTGCGATTCGTCTGGGCGAAGGGACCGCCGAGGGTAAGAAAGACACAACTGATACTCCCGAGACATCGGGGTGGAACAGCCCTACCGTCCCTACTCGGTTACTACCAGGCGACACACCTCTTACGAATTATAGAATGGCATGTCCTGGACTCGGACAAACAATGGGTCCATATGGAGCGGCTTCAGGCCAGGGGGCGTATTCCATCGATGGTATGGATACAAAACCCGACATGCGATGGTTTCCTGCGGAACCACCCATTCATAGGCGCGACACTGAGAACATGGACAACCATCCGATTCAAGCTGCAGCTCACCACGAACCCGGCCCCCCTGACACCTGTGATACACAACCCAGACCTGGCGGGAGGCCTGACACAGGGGGATATGGAGGGACTGGGGGAGGGGACGAAACAATACCTTCGGGCATGGTGTGCTAATAAAGCCCTAAGGCCGCTGGAAGACATGCTGGGCCAGAGTAGGGAGACAGGGATCTTACGATTTAGGTACCACCAGATACGCCGGTACTATGCCACACTTCAGGGGAAACACCTGATCCACCGAGACCTCACACACTTTGAAACGCTATGTGAAGGGGGATCGCACCCGACACGCGGGATATCGACCCTATATGCCATGCTCCTGGGTGCCGATGCGGGTCCCCCGGCACACTTCCACTCAAAGTGGGAACAAGCCACAGGTGTCACCTTAACGGAACCACAATGGGAGCAAATACACGTCCTTCCCACCAGGGGATACTTAGTTCTAAAATGCAGGAACTTAATTATAAACTATTGACGCACTGGTACCGGACCCCCGCACGACTCCATGCCATGGGGGTCACCCCCGACAACAAGTGTTGGAGATGTGACATCGCCGAAGGGACGGCATTACACCTGTGGTGGTCTTGCCCTCGGATAGCCCCCTTCTGGCAACAGATCCATGACAAAGTGGTGGACATCCTGGGGGAGGACATCCCCATGGAGCCCCTCCCTATGCTTTTAAACCACACTCAGATACCTCTGGGGCGTTACAAGAAAACCCTTATCAGACACTTTCTCAACGCAGCCAAAAGCCTCATCCCCGCCAGATGGAAATCGCCAGTTGTCCCAAACATTACTCAGTGGATAGAAAAAGTCGATGAACTTTATAACATGGAAATTCTTACGGCAGAACTCAGGGGCACGCAAGACCGCTGCACTCGCCTGTGGACACCGTGGATCTCCTACAGCTCGGACCGGAGGTGGGGGCGGCCGAGGGCGGACCGTCTGAGGCCAGATGAGGAGGCGGAGTAGCGTGGGAGGAGGCTGGATTGCGGCCGCGCGGGACCCCCTCCCTTCCCCCCCCTCCTTCTTCCTTTTTTTTTTTTTCTCCCTCCTCTCTTCTTCCTCTTTTTCTCTCACTCTCTCTAACTCTTTCTCTCTCTTTCTCCACATGCCTCAATGACGAAGCAAAGGTGACCGACAGGGGAGGAAAGGGGACCTTGACTGGAGTTAACACATGACAGCCACAGATAGCAGGCAGGCCGGAGACAGCCCGGCCACGGTTAAATTAACAACTCATCGGAGGGGGGGGGGTGCCGGACCTCGGGCATTACACCCGAACGACACAGAATTCCACCGAGGGGGGGCTCGCGGGGACCGCATCTGGACCCAAGGGGACCACCACCCCCTGCGCGAGCCAGAGGAGCTTCACTCCCACCAAGCCAAACAAGGTCCTGCACCTCGCCAACTACAATGTATGCCCACGCACATGGTGGAACACTTGCTAAACGCCGGACGAAAGGCAAACCACAGCGGTCCCGGCGGACCCCACTCTATAAGGCAAATAGGCTCGGGGTTGGTCGGGGAATGGTGTTCCCCTCTAAAAGGCAGGTCCAACATAAGTCTACTAAGATCACTAGGCCTAAGAAACGGAGAAATGAGGCCGGATCAAGACTGGTGGGGATGGGGGGGGTTGGTGGGGGGAAGGGAGCTAATACGGCGGGGAGTGGAGAGAGGGGGAAACCTAGGAATAAAACCCTACAAATATTGTTGGCCATAAGGCTTAGGGGCCTTACAAAACCTGTTATACCGTGTCTTTTGATATGATTTGACCTGTCTTGTAACCTTACTACATACAAATAAAGAATGTCAAAAAAAAAAAAAATTCCATTCTAGTAAACTCATGAACAGAAATGTTAACCAGTTCCAATGCTTTCTTAAAGTCTTTAATGAACAATGTAGGTTTTTTTTTTTGTTTGTTACTGCATTGAGAATTGTGCAGTGTGTCCATGCGTAATCCCCTCACAGAGATGCATTATACCAATATAGGTCTTAATGCCGAGTGTGAAATGCCAAACGTTGGTCCTGCAAAGATTGTAGAATGGTAATGGGAAGCTCCTCTAGGGAGCAATGTGAACATAGCCTTTTTACAGAAGACAGTCTTCTTTGCACCAGAACAGCTGGTCTGGGTTAAAAAAAATTTTAAATGACAATCAGAATAGTTTAAAAGATGTCTGCACCTACACAAAAGGGAAAGGTCAATATTTATGCACTGCCATAGATCTATACCTAGAGGCAGAAAGCATTGAAGTTTTGTTCCATCTCATTCTGATAGTGAGAAAGTGGAGTAAGGCTATTCACTCAAGTGAGAATTCCAAGTGAATTTCAAATTTAAGACTAAAATCAGCTGAACAGGCCCTAGGGAGATAGCGCAGCTAAGCGGACAAGGGCACATGTAGGAGTGTGGGGATGGATGCAGGGGAGTGACTTGGGAAGTGTGTGTGGGAGGGGATAGGTTTAATGTGAATTAGTGTGGGGGAGGTCTTACCTCAGTGCCACTTGGGATTCGGGCCAGCAAACAGCTTCCCGCCCACCCACCCACCCCTTGTAGTATTAGTTATGTCCTTGCCAATTAAGTTTGAGGGGTTATGTTTAAGGATGGAGTAAGTTCATTATGTTTTGCAGGTCTCAACCTCCCCTGCTTCAAAAGGTTAACATTAGGTTGCCTGAGGTGTCGTGCCCATTGAGCGTGGATAAGGTCGGCTGATGGCGGACATTGGAAGGATATGATTTTATGACGAGGGGGAGATGAGAGGAAGTGGTGATTAGGAACCACTGTATGTTTATTGGCAAGGACGGTTGGATCACTGTATAGCACCATGTTTGAGTTATATATGTATATATGTTAATTTATGATTATTTATTTCTAACAATTTGGTTACAGAAAGAAGAGTTTAATAAATAAAGTTATGGATGTGTTTTGCAGTAATTTATTTATGTTATAATAAATGCTGTGGCCTGTTCATCCATACTAAGTTGTCTGTCGTTATTGGGGGGGTTGATTGGGGTTATTTATGTTTATGTGGCATCGTAATTCCCCACTACGTACATACATAGAAACACGGCAGACTCCTGTACTGTTTTCAGTTTGGCTATATTTGCTTTGAATTCTCACTTTAGTGAATAACCTTGTAACCAAAAAAACAAACAAAAAAAAACAAAGACATTAGTCCTGCGATCAATTTGCACTAGTCTTGGGAAACCACAATGGCTACAAGCATTTCATTGATTTTCATGGCAACTAGTAGACCATGAATGTTTTTCCACCAGTACAAACTAATCAAATTCCTTTTAAATCAATAACTCCATTAAATGTCTGGGATTTACAGTAGTGT